TCCCGCTGATGGCAGAGGAGCTTCCCGTGTGCCCCAAGTCCCTTTGCTTTGCATCCCACAAAAATAGCAGCACCTAGCACTAAAGCTGAGGCTGAGAGTGATCCCTCCACTGCAGGAGCCCAGATTTGCAGAGAAGTGCCTGGGGCTGCATCCTTCACCGAAGGGAGCGGGTTCAGCTCCGGGGCTTTGGGCCAGGCTGCCCACGGACTCGCTGCGGGGCCCTGCCTCCCGGTACCATCGCACCCACTGCCCTGACCATACCGGTTTCCATGCCCTGATGGAACTTCAGCAGCTGTCTAGGTCTTGGCAGTGAAACTTTATCTGCTGCTCGCTCTTCTCCTTTCTCATGGCTTCTGCTGGCAGTCAAGGGGAGAAACCACATGGCTGCGTTAGAGCAGGGGGAGAAAAATGGGTGATTCAGATCAACTTGTAGTGATTCACCGGGAGCAGGCTTCCTCTCGTCCTTTGGAAGAGGCAACTCCAACAACAAAAGGAAAACAAATCAGAACACAAAATCCCACCATCTGCACCTCAAACCCTTCAATTACTAATGTTTCATCACCTTTCCTCTTACTCATACATACATACAGCAAATAGTCCCCTTTTGCTCCTAAAAATAAAATTTTTAAAATGTAAATATACAGTAACAAACAATACTTTGCCTTTTTCCAGCTTTTTCTTTTTTTTTTTTTGCAAGAAGTTCCTTCACAAAGGTTTGCAAATTCGACTTAAAAGTTAAGCTCAGTGCAGTGAAGGAAATGAGAATTGAAGCGCTTTGTCTAAAACAAGGACAAAGCCTGTTGGAAGCAGGTTGGGAAGAATGCACTATTTCAAAGTAACACAAGAGCTTTCAAAGAAACCCCCCTGATTTCAGAAAGGCCAAATTCATCTCCACTTTCTCTTTCTTGGATAACAGATTCCCATATTAGTCAGTGAAATCTTTATCACAAGGAAGCAGGGGAGTGTGTACTAATATATATATAGAAAGAGAGCATGAAAGAAAGGAAAGCGGAAAACAAGAGAGACGTCAGAGGAGTTATCTTCACCTCTGAAATGGTAATTTTATCAGAGCCGGGACAGTAAGTGTCAGTTAACGCAGTACACCCAGTTCGTAGAGCCAGCACCAGGTTGCTTGGATGGGGCTCGTGCCCATTTCTAGGAAATCAAGTTGAACTAAAAAAACCAGAAACACAAATATTCATGACCTGCTTATACACTTCAACACCACAAGCCAATGTTAAAATCCTGGCTCCCATGGCCCAAACCCTGCTCCCACCCGGCTGCTGTGCGTAAGCAGCCGGTGCACAAGCCCCGAGGGACCGGAGCAGCAACGCATCCCAGCCGGCCGGGCTCCTCCACCGCATCCCGGCACATCACAGAAGTGATCCTGTTAGCAGCCGGGCACAACCCCAGCTGAAATTTGGGAGCATAGGCTTCGAGCTTGGTGAAGGCACTGAAAATTCGCATCGACTTCAGCAGACATATGCGTTAACTGGAAAAAAAATAAATTAGGATTCAAGATTATCATGTATATTTGCAGTATAGGATTAGAACGCCAAAGGAGATGACAGTGTATTTGTGCAGATTCATTAAAAGCAATACTGCTGATTTATGCATGGTGCTGGGGATCCTAAGTGCAGATTTGATATGGAGGTTGAAAAATAGAAACACTTTTTTTCCCCTAACAATAAGGCATTCATCTAAAAATAAAAAGTAGCTGTGAGAATGCAGAAGTAACCTCACACAGCACCTTTTCTTCTTCGCATTATATCTGAAGCTTTCCTCTTTAGCCACATTTAAATTTACAAGAAGCAAGCAATGAAAAAAAATTGCAGAGTCTAAGCACAAAAGATTTGATGGGGTGTGAGGAGAGGAGGGGGGTCAAGAGAACAGGAAACCCAAGTTGACGGGAAACCCAAGTGACATTTAGTTTTAATGAATGACTTAAAACCCCAATATTGCTCGCCAGGAAATGGGGAGAGGAAATTGAGCGATGTTTTGAGAGTATAAATTAGGGGCTCCATCAAGGTGAAGGCTACAGATCGGCTTTTTACCCTCCTGTGAAATTCAGCCGAGAGCTGGGCCAAGAGGAAGGCAGCTCATTTTCGCAGCATGCAAACCTGCTCAGCCCTGCTCTGCCTGCTCCTGGCTGCCTGCACCCTGCCTGCCAGGTGCTCGCCCACCGACCCCAGCTGCCTCCACTTCTCGGAGCTCCTGCCTGCAAAGCTCAAAGAGCTGAGGATCAAGTTTGAGGAAATTAAGGATTATTTTGTAAGTATAACCCTGCTAGTCTGTCTTTCCTCCTTCATGTTTTGCTTTTTTTTTTTTTTTTTTTTTGCAAAGTTCAGTGATTTGGATGAGGGGGAAGACAGCTTCCTCCCGGCAGAAATGATTTGGTTGTGTGTTGTGTTATGGGCTAACGAGGGCGAGCAAGCGAAGTTCAGTTTCATTGCTCACTGAGAGACGATGTGCAAGGGTTTTCTTCCTAGTTTGAGTTACAATGAACTCAAGAGATTTCATAGTGAACCTTTGTGAACCTTCCTAGCCAGACTTCCCCCGAAGTGTTGCAGATCAAATTATTCAATGAATTAATTGGAAGGTAACAGTCCCTTCTTCAGGGCAACGAGGTCCAGCCTCGCTGAAGTCAATGCTAGATGAAAAGGGAAATCAATCTTTTGCTATAGACTTTTTCTCTGAAAGAACCACAAAAGCCTGAGCATGGTATATTATGACTGGGGAAACACTACAGTAACTAGCACTTGCTTTGGTGCCTGTAAAAGGTCACCGCTTTGTGTCGCAGCTAACGGGAGCCTTGGGGTTGCTGAGAAAGCAGCACAAGATCTACTCAGAGCATTTGTCATTGCATCAGTACTGATAGAGGTGGTCGGTCACATCTGCGTTACTATTTTAGTTAATGTCAGTGTGTTTTAGCAATAAAACAAGATAGTTCTCCAGATTAAATCTCAGGCTTAATGTCACAGCTTGCACTTATTACCAAATGAACACAGCCAAGACTTTAGATTTAAATCTTGCTGTAAATCTCCCAGTTAATTTTGGGAATGACTATTTTTAATCTCTCAGGAAAGTCAGTAAGTACCTGGTGCCATGGGGCGATGCTTTGTGTGGTGCCAGCCCACCCCACTGCAGCTCCCTGGTCTTCCAGAGCTGATGGTGCAACAGAGATGCCACAAGACAAAACACCCTCTGCAGATCCCCTTCGGCTGCAGACTTACAGAGATAACCAAACCGGGAGGATTAAACCCTCCGGCCCCCGGCGAGCCCGCGGGCAGACAGGCTGGGGCGGATACCTCGCTTCCAGGGCCTGAAGAGCGACGCGGTTTGCATCAGCGCTCTTAAATAAACACGCTCCACAGCCGAAGCGAGTGCGCAGCGCTGGCAGCGGGGGGAGGAGTTTCACATTAACAAAATCGATGGCACTGAGGTTTCTGATTTCATTATCTTGCTGTCTTGACCTAACCGTAGCGGCACTGCAAGATTACGGACCAAAGAGTCGGTGGCTCCTGTATCTGGTGTTACTGTGCTTGCACACAAGCGTGCTGGGCGCTCTTCGCTTCAGCGAGACCACAAATGCAAACAAGCAAAACGATAGTTTGTAAGGCAGAGTGAAAAATAGCGTTGACTGCCAAAGTAAAGCTCACGTTTCCATTGCATCCTTACAGCAATCAAAAGATGATGAACTTAACATCCAGTTGCTCAGCTCCGAACTGCTGGATGAATTTAAGGTAAGAATTATAATTCTCATGTAAGTCCCTTATCCTTCTTCACCCCTCGGCCGGTGTGTTTTGTAAGAAAGGAAGCAGGCTGGAAATTGGGGCATTTCCTAACGTCACAGGGACGGTTCTCCAGCCAAGCAGTAACACGTGTGTCTGCAGCAGGGCTGAAGGATAGTTCTCCCCACATCACAGTCGCAGCAAGCGGTGCTAACATGCTGCAAGCACTCTGACCGCCACCGCGATTTTGATTTTTTTTGATTTTTTTTTTTTTTTTTAAAAAAACACCCACACACGTTGGTGCTGGTGGCCAGCCTCAACACGGTTACCTCCTCTCTCCCCAGGGGAGCTTCGGCTGCCAGTCCGTGTTGGAGATGATGCGGTTCTACGTGGAGGAGGTCCTGCCCAGCGCCATGGGGACCAGCACGCACCACCGGCAGAGCGTGGGGGACCTGAGCAACCTGCTGCTGAGCCTGAAGGCGATGATGAGGCGCTGTGTGAGTGGGGCTCAGCATCACGGCGGGGAGGATGGAATCAGTGCCCTGGCAACGCAGGGACAGCAGCAGGGTGGGGAGGAGCAGGAGCAGGGCTCCGGGCAGGCAGAGTCCGTAAAGATGGGGTTTCTCTTAGCCCCTGCTCTCCAGGCTTCCAGCAGTTAAATAATGATGGTTCAGAGCCTCTGTCCAGGAGCACCATTTATTTGCAGCCAGCCCTGTCCAACAGAGTCTGGCTGAAGAGATAAGGGGAGCGAGAGCAAAGGGTCTGTCCCTTACCTGGGTGCCGGAGCAGCGTGGCTCTGTGACGATGCCTTCCGACACCGCGCTTGCTGCGGCCGTGACCCCATCACCGGCTGCAGGCTGAGTCAGACGGCACACACCCTGCCCTGAGCAGACGGCACCGCGGGGCTGCCCTCACCCGGGGCCGGCAGCAAGGAGCACAGGGCTGGGAAGGTCTCGGGGGTCCGTGCTCGGGTCACACCGAGCTCCTTTCATCAGCGCACGGTGCAAAGCAGCCGCAGTTGCTGCCCCAGAGAGCCCCACGGCTGCACGTGGGGAAGGGGAAGGTGGAGACTGGCGGGGTGGCCGTGACGAGGGGCAAGCGGAGGGGAGAGCCCTGGGAAGGAAACCCATGTGGTTGAAGCCGTTGCTTGTTCCTTTGCAGAACAGATTCTTCGTGTGCGAGAAGAGGACCAAAACCATAAAGCACATTAAGGAGACGTTCGATAAGGTAAGGTCCCCGCTCACATGGCTGCACCGAGGTTGGGAGGAACCCGCCGTCCCAGGCAAGGCAGTGGATTTTACTGCCGGCTTTAGGATAGAGAACAAAATTTTAAAAAATTCTTTAATTAAATGAATACCTAAGGTAGAGAAATCCAGAGAGCGATGCTCAAAGGAGCAGCCAGCAGGGCTGCCTCAGGGGTTGGGCAGAGAAGCTGGAGATGGTGGTGGAAGGAGAATATACCTAGCGATTGTACATCACGTATATTGTCACACTCAGACCTAAACGGACTTGGCTTTCACCTGCAGATGAACGAGAACGGAATCTACAAGGCCATGGGAGAGTTCGACATTTTCATCAACTACATCGAAGAGTACTTGCTGATGAAGAGACGGAAATGAAAATGCCCAGGGGTCTGCGTCTTTCGCACAAAATCCTGCTGTTTTTTCAGAGATCACTTTAGGCTGCAAGAACACACAAGAGACTAAGTTATCTTAGGGTTCAAGTCAAGAATTACAGGTCAATAATTTCAGGTTTAGTATGGTATTTAAAAGTTATTTTAACAACTGAATTTAATATTTATTACTTCTGATACCTCAGTGTTTATGTTTACAATATGTTTTGAAAAGTGTGGTGAGCTTGTAAAATGCTATTTATTGTTCAATTTTTTAATACTGTTTGTGATAGAGCTATTTTATTCGTAGCTTCCAAACACCCAAAGCAGTGTTCCTCTGGGGAGCAGATAAGGAGCAGAGCTTATCCTGGGTGCAACTTCACTGAGCATGGTTGCCTCAGCAGCAGCAATTCCAGCTCTGAGTTCAGCAAAGTTTAATTTTAAGGAAGTGAGGACTCTCTTCCTGTTCTAGCCCTCTATTTATGCAATCAAATGTTTTTATGCTTAACCACGTCACTGTCTCTGGTTCTGCAGTTGGAATCAGGCACTGAAATATTAAAAATTATTCCATGGCCTTGCACTGAGCAAAATAATGATAAATGTAAGCAAGGGCACTTTTTTCTCCCGTGCACGGAAAGCAATGCGGAGAAGGACCTGCGCTCCTGCGAACAACACGCGATCATGCCGCAGCGGGAGATCAGTTAACCCCACCTCTAGACTTCAGCCTATATATTAGTCCAGGTTAAAGAAAACAAATTAGTAGTAGGAATGAAGTGTTTGGTTCTAATAGAACTTGACTGAAATATTGCTAACAACTGATTTCCAGAGCTCCTGGGTCAGCTGTTCTGCACTTTCGAAAGTTAATATTACTAATTTCCAGTCTTTGATTGGGTTTTACTCGCTGTTTTGTTGTTGTTTTTTTTTTTTCTTTTAGAAGTTAGATATTTAATTAACCACCATTTTAAGGTGGCTTGGGTAATTTGCATTCAAATTCATAAAGCTGCATGCAGCACTGACAGGGTTTGCGCTATTTCTCATCCCGCGCACGAGGAGCCGCCGCGGACGAGCGCTGCAGGGGAAGGCTGC